CCACGCCGCAGTGTCTTTTGGATATTATTCACGCCCTGACGAGCAGCTAATGGGTGGGTGGGCTTGGTCTCTCGTGGTTGCCTACGAAGGAAGAGGGGGAAAGACTAGACTTCGCTGCCCATTGAATCACATGCGCTACCCAGAGCTGGAAAATCACTGGAGTGAAGTATTGCAGTTTCGAAGGCTCTCGGAGAGGAAGACATACTGGTCTTTTGCAAACGCTTCTCATTGATGCTCTTCTCAACCACGAATGATGGGATATCGAGGCAAAGAACAAAAAGAGTGTGACACAAGTGTTATAAATATAGAGTCTGGAACTCGTACTCTATCCAGAAGACAGTGATTCAAACTGATGGCTATGGTTATGAGATGTTGGCACCACTCGATTCACTCCACATCCTGTACGAGTCCTCAAGATCGACTTCGTGTGCAGTAGAGCGTATGCTTGCTACATCTTCCCTGAAGCTATCAACTCTAGTGGCGCTTGGAGCAAATGACCCATCGGAGCCTGCGTCTGAACAAGCGCAAAATGCAGGTTATACGGATGTCCAGTTCTTTCAGCGTCCGCGGTACGTGCGCAAATACCGAATAGACCGTCTCATTCCATGTCCACCGAAAGGGGTATACAACAGCAGCAGCAGCACAAGCTGATTCTCGCAATCTTGATTTTAAACCAAACAAAACCATGGAGGTTCCATACCATCCGCTTGGGGAAGCACTCCAATTCCAAGCGTCATGCATACAGAGCGCTTCATGCCTCCAGCTCTCAGCAGGCGGCGGTACGCATGTCGTTGCCTCACCGAGAAAAGCGGATGGACGGTGTGCTAATGGTGTGGGTTTAGGTGGCTACGGAGGCCCCGCCACGACCACATTGCTCCCCGAGTCGAGACCACTGGAAATGGAAGGCGGCCGATGTGCGTTTTAGGTAAGCGAAAAATTACGCGCTTAGACCTCCCCACTCAGCCCACCACGTCGCCCTGCAGTGGAGGTTTTCTCAAGTCACGTGCAAGGGCAACGGGGTTAGTTGTGCATCCCACAATTCGCCAACAAATTTCGACTTGGATCTTCTCTTACGAAGACAGACCATCAACCATCGACATCAAGGCAACCACCTCGACAAGTTGCCCAACATGTCGCTCGTCTCAGGGGAGAAGAGTATGTCTATTGCAAACAGCCGGCTGCCATGAATCATCTGCTAACGGATACCTCGCAGCGAACTTCCAGTTCATTCTCCGACTTTTGAGTACGTCTACTCTCGATCGCGCGATCGCGAAACCCCTCGACCGACCACCACCCCGATGCCATCGATTCTAACAACATGTGCAGACACCAACGTTCGCGGTCAGGAGAAGGTCATGTACGCGCTCACCAAGATTTCTGGTGTTGGCCGTCGTTACTCCAACATTGTGTGCAAGAAGGCCGATGGTGCGTAGCTTCTCTCGTCCATTCGCCACCGCAAAGGCAGATGGGGTCTTCGAACACAGCGACGAGTACTAACGAGGACTTGCAGTCGACCTGAACAAGCGCGCCGGTGAGCTCACCTCTGAAGAGCTTGAGCGTATCGTCACCATCATCCAGAACCCCACCCAGTACAAGATTCCCGGCTGGTTCCTCAACAGGCAGCGCGACATTGTCGACGGCAAGGACTCCCAGATCCTCGCCAACGGTGTCCACTCCAAGCTCCGTGACGATCTTGAGCGCCTCAAGAAGATCCGCGCCCACCGTGGTCTCCGTCACTACTGGGGCCTCCGTGTCCGCGGTCAGCACACCAAGACCACTGGTCGCCGTGGCCGTACCGTCGGTGTGTCCAAGAAGAAGGGTGGTTAAGCGTATCGCTGTTGTTGAAGGGAGACGGCAGGGAGGATTCGGTCCGGAGGGCAAAAGGCGTGACACGGCTTGGTTTTCTTCCCACCTTGATTCCTTGCGTTACATCATCACATCCATTGGGGGATTGCTATTTGGGCCATGCGATGACATGCGGATGGTGGTTCTCGAAAATGAGTTCGCCAGACCAAAACAAAAGAATCAAAACTGCGTCTTCCTGTCTTACGTGACCTTGAATGATGACTTGAACGATGACACCGCCCGAAAGACGAGAATGCTGGCGGCTCAAACCTGTGGTAGACCTCTTCAACTCGATCAGTGTGATTCCTGTGAGAAGCACTCCGACTACCAAGAGGTGTGACTTGAAGTCTGGGCACAGCACATCGTGTAAGGACCTAGCGATCGACGCTAAAGATGACCCGTCGGAGAGGGTGAGCATGACCACCATGTGACACTACACTACAGCTGCGCAACAAATCTTCAAAATTGAGTAATGCTTTTCGCCCGCCTAAATGCCACGATCGCTAGTCGCTCGTAAGGCTATAATCATGGTAGAAAGCTATGTCTGCAAAACAGGTATCAAGAGTCCCGTGTCTCGTCTAATCCTCGTGTGTGATGGCCATATCGAGCACCTCAACACGACCCTGACCTCTCGTCTCGTTGCCGATGAAGTCGCCCAGCCCCTTGAACGCACCGGGCTCAACGAACCCAGAAACCTCCCACTCGGAACCGACGACGTCCTGGCTCTCCACCTGCTCAAAGTACCCTAAAATCCTATCCTTGACCGTGCCCGGCGCTACCTTGGCTCCATCCTCCCCCAGCGCCCTCTTCTTGGGCAGCCTTGACACCCTGCTGGAGTACGAATGTGGAGCAGAGACACGCGGAGCGTCATGCGCGTCCTTTGAGAGTGGATCGGTTGGCCCGCCAATGAGAGGTTCATGTCCTCAGGGTCTGGATTTCGCGGACTGGTACGTCGCCCGACCTGTCCAGCGATGTGGCGCTCGTGTACTG